AACCATCATTAAGTTGCTGACTATAAAAGAACACTATAAAGTAAACAGATACTCATTTTAAGAATTTAAAAATAACAGTTCATCTAGAGAAGTAGCTTAATTTCACACCCTACAGATGTGGAATCCTTTAAAAAAAAATAGTATCCTAGTCAATGCATCTTTTGAAAGTGTGTAACTTTTCCCCTTGAAGATATACCCTTCACTGCATTCAATTTTCCATCCCAGGTATTAGGAGTGTCTGTTTAAAAGTTATAGAATTATTCTCGAATTTGATAAAATGAAGCAAGATAATTTAAGAATCCTTGTAAAGTGAAGCTGTAAATCTAAATAATTGATAGCTTACTCTAAAACTTTGTATGACTCATTCTTTTTCAAATATTACCCAGATATACATAACTTTTGAATTTGTAATTAAAAATATATTGAAATGTCTAATTTCAAACTAGTACAGTATTATTCTGTAATCATGATATGCGAAATCCTCACTTAAATTATTTTTTATGAACTTTTATAAGAAATAACAGCAAACATGGAACTTTCCATTCTGATGGTAGTTGTTCATCTCATTTAATCTACTCCTGTCTTTATTAGGAAATTGAAGATGAAAGAAATTATCAAATGTCCACTGTAGCTAATACTAACTGGGCACCAAGTAATTTTTGTATATATCCCAAAGTATTCAAAAAATGTTATCTATACCTTTGTATAAAGTTGTACTAAAACTTAGAGGCCTAAACCAACAAACATCGATTATCTTAAGTTTCTGTGGATCAAGAATCTAGGTACAACTTAGATGAATTCATGGCCTAAGACCTCTCATCAGGTTGCTGTCCAGCTGTCAGCCAGGGCTGCAGCCTTATCTAAAGGCTCCATCGGGCAAAGGGAATCTGCTTTCGGGCCCACTCATGAGATTGGCTCTCAGTCCTTTATCATGTCCACCTGTCCGTAGGGCGGCCTCATGACATAACAACTGGCTTACCCCACGGCAAGTAATGCATGAGAAAGAGGAGAGAAATGAAAGCTACAGACTTTTTAGAACCAAATCTCTAAAGTGACATCCCATCACAATTGCTAAGTTCTATTTGATGATCAGAGGAAATGGACTGGATACAGTGAGTACCAGGACACATCACAGGCCATCTTACAGACTGCTACACACCTGCAAAGATACTCATTAAGTACTTGTCACATAAATTAAAATATTTTTGTATTGAACTAGCTTTCAAAAATGATGAAATTACAATGTGGGTTCTTGATTAAACAATAGCATTTTTCATAAGTTATTCTTTCTGATTTTGTCTTGTGGCTCTGTAAGAATATGTCCCTGTACTTAGGAAATACATACTGCTGTCTAAAGGTTTAACAGGTCATGATGTTCAAACCTATGCAGTCCCCACCCCAGCAGACACACAAAAACAAATGTACAGAACAAAAGAGGGAGAGAATTTTTTTTTAAGTGATGAAATGTAAACATTCAGTGAATTGAAGTTGCGTTATTTTCATAGGGATGGACCATAAATGACCATAACCTTTGTGGCCTAAGAACAGCATAAATTCGCTCTTTCACAGTTTGGAAGAACACAAGTGCAAAGTCAGAATGTCAGCAAAAGTGGACCTCCAGGAACTACAAAGGGAAATGCGTTCATCGTCCTGTGTAGCTTCTGGTGTCTGTCCAAAGTCTGTCTCGTCTTCACTTTGTCTGCTCCTCTCTGTGTTTCTCTTCCGCCTCTCCCCAAGTCCCCTCTGCTTTTGTCTTACCATGTAAGGACACCTGGAATAGGATTGAGGGCCCATCCTAAATCCAGGATGGTCCCCTCCTCTCAGGATCTTTAACTCAATTACCTCTGTACAAACCGTTTTTAGAAATACTATGTGTCAGGAATTAGGCACGCTTGTATACTTTGGGGGGAACACTATTTAACACACTACAGAAGTATGTGGGAATTCCTTGAGCAATTCCTATAACTTTCACATAAGTTTAAAATTATTATTATTATTATTATTTTTGCAGTTTTTGGCCAGGGCTGGGTTTGAACCTGCCACCTCCAGCATATGGGGCTGGCGCCCTACTCCTTTGAGCCAAAGGCACCACCCAGTTTAAAATTATTTTTTTAAAAATTAGGAATAAAACAGAATACATTGTCAAATGCTAAGATAATTCAAAAATCATGACATTAAGCTCAAAATACATGCCCAGATATGTCAAACTGCAGTAAGGCATTTTGTGAATGTCTGCTTCATCACCGCGTGCTTTTTGAAGTCATCGGAAACCACGTGGTGTCAAAACGCTCTTCCGCATTGTCTGGCCTCTCAAACTTTTGCTTTAATCTTCCTAGTACATTTAGGATATTAAAGGTCATTTTTATTTCAAAAGCAAGAACCATGTTCCCAATTTTACAATCTTTGTAGGAATAATTAATGAGGCTTTCTGTGATGTTAATTGCCATAAGATGACAACTTTTTCTCTGATAATACGGTCTGGAGGCCCCAAAGGAATATTTTGTTTGTTTGTTTGATCTTGATTAGTTTGTCTTTTCTTTTTTTCTTTCAACAATGTGTATTGATCTTAAAAATGATCCTGTATTCATTTCTTAAGCGCTCATTCTGTCCTAAATTTGCTTATTTCTTACCTATGTATTGAGTTGAAGTGTTTTTTATAGTATTGCCACTGTGTAAAGTGATAAATGTATAAATCCAATTAGTTTGTAACAAATAATAATCTATTCTTATATAGCTGGAAGTAGGAGGACCATTGAAAGAAATGTATGTTTGCATACACACACACACACACACGTTTACAGAGAAATTTTAACTCTACACTGGAATAAATGGAGTATCTAAAGAAGTAATCAAATTAGGCAAAAATGTTCTACTAACTATACCAATTAGCTATTAAACAATTGAGATAACTCTCTCTAATCTACATGAGCTTCCAGAGGCCATCATTGTGTTTTCAGCATTCTGTCTAGCACATTGTTTGTGTGAAGTAAATATTGGCTATATAAACGTATGCGTCATGAATGATTTAATTCACACAATAGCCAAATATAGTCAGTTGGACCAAAGGGAAATCAAGTAATCATGGGATGATGGAACTTGTAATCAAATGTGTGTGTATATGTATACACACATAGGATCCTTTATTTTCTTGGACAGTTTTTAATAATTGTGGCATCATAGATTTTAAAGCTGAAAGCAACCTCAGGTGTTCATCTGGTTCTATGCCTTTCTGCAAGAGACAAGCAATTATTATCCCCATGATCTATTAAGCCACATTTTCTTTAGCATGTGACAGCTAAGGTGATGCTGATCAAAAAATATAGCTCTCCATTCTTAAACAATTTCACATGCACAGAGATGTTTAACAAGTGCCTTTTCAGAGCTATGATGAGACAACACCAGCAGCCTTGGTTTAGAGGAGTAATTTATGATACCTAAGTAAATGGTGTCCAAGATCACCTCGCTCACCTTAGCCACGCTGTAGTTTTACCCCTATAGGGCAGTCTTTTCTTTTACCCTGGTGATAAGTGTGTTAAAAAAAAAAAAAAACCCACTATGAGTCTCACTTTAGTTGCTGACTCTGTTTCTTCTTCTATACCTGCTGCTGCCTGAGATCATCTGTCTCAGCAAGTTAGCAGAGGAGGGAGGAGAAGGAGAAGCTGCAGAGGAGCGAGTGTGAGAGGAGTGTGGTTAATAGGAGGTCTGGGTCTGTCACTCTCCTACCCACCCTGCCTTCCCTTTGGGTTCATTAACTAGAAATAGAGAAAGGTAAGGGAGATGAATTTAACTTGTTCTGACATTAGTGAGGGACAGGGAAGTGTGGCAGCTTCTAGATGATTTCTGCCCCAGAGAGAGGTAATTGGAAAACGTGTTGTGTGGTTAGGTGTTGTAATGAAAAATACAAGAACGATGGAGGAGAACAGCGAAATCAAATTATAAGCATAAGGCAAGTGTGCTGAAGTTTTTAGCCACTTGCAAAATTGAGAGATACTATCAGGACTGTGCAAATACATTGTTCTGATTAATTTTCCTGGGGTGAAATATGAAAATATTTATAAAATGGTGAATCCTGCCATGAATAAAATTTTCTCTGTGGTTATAATAAACTAAAATAAGCCATAACTTGTATCTTTCTTAAATGAAACTGTAAAATGGTTAACTACTATGGAATTGAATAAAAAGATCTGAATAAAAGTATCTGTATTTGAGCATTACTCTAAATTGCTTAAAATGTTGAACACTATTCAGGAAAAAATAGACTCATTTATCTCAAAGGTTTTTAATTTGATTTTCTAAATATTGTTATAGAAGTTGTATTTTATCACTCCTGCTTTAGACTCCCCTTTTATGTATAAAGGCTATGGTTTTTCAATATGGAGGTGAAAGATTTTCAAGGAGAAAAGTAGGAGGTGTTTAGCTTTAGCGAAAACGAACAATTTCATTATAATTTAGACGAAATATATTTCAAATCCAGCTTTTCATTTGAGATGTAAAATGAAAGATTTAACGGTACATTGTTTTGTAAATTCCATATTAATGTATTTGAACAAATCATCAATGTGTAGGAGGGGTTAATTGAGAAGGACACATCATAATATACAAAGCCTTTCTATTATATGAAGCTTTAAAAATATTCTATTGTCAATCCAAAGAGAACAAACTGAAATGAGATAATTGGGAAGGTGCCCATAAAGTCAGCCTGAATATATTATCACAACTATATATGAGATAATATTTGTTTTAAAAAGATTCTATGGCACTGTAAACTCAGTCTCATTAGAGACTGCATTTAAAAGGCTTATAAAGTTACCCATTAATGTTATCTTCTTGTATCTCCACAGCTTTTTCATTAAAGAAAATTCAGCAGAAAGCATTTTCTCCTGATAGCAGGAACCAATTTGCAATAAATGTTCTGGAAACCACTAGGGAAGCCATTACTGAGGTCTAATAAAAACAGACAAGCGTAACTTGTTCTATATTTTTGTTTCAATCACATACAGATGAGACCCCGCTTTCTACACCAACCGCAAGAGACAGCCTTGACAAACTTTCTCTAACTGGGCATGGACAACCACTACCTCCAGGGTTTCCATCTCCGTTTCTCTTTCCTGATGGATTGTCTTCCATAGAGACCCTCCTGACTAACATACAGGTAGGCCTTTTTTGTAATCTGAAAGAAACATGGGGCACCCAGCAGTAGATCTTTTCCCCCCAATTTATAATATTCCCACTTGATCCATTTTTTCACCTTGCTACACTCATCAAACTGGTTTAGAATTAGGTATATTAAGCTATAAGAAAAACGGTGAACAAAATGGCCTGGCATTGGAAAATTATTCTGCCTGAACACTCCCTTTACTGCCGACTCACGGCAGGAATTTAACTGTTTAAGTTTGTCTGATTGACTAAAGGATAACATGCTAATTCTTACAAAGATCTTCCAGAGAGGAAATGATTGTTTAGTCCTTTAAAATATGTCTAATACAGAATAAAGAATCCTTTCTTTTATAAATGTTTGTTTCAATTAATACGGTTTCATCAAAGAATAGACTTCAAAAAGCCATTCCCAACTTTCTGTGGATTCCCTATGTGGTCTTCAGGATGTATATTTTATGAACAGTACATTATGAATCAAAAATACTTACAGTTAACAATAACATAGCACATGGAGCCAAGATAATAAGAGTGTTTGGGATAGAAGAAAGCATAATTTTCTTGCCCACACATGAACTGGTCATGTGGGCCCCAGATGGAGAGTTTTGTTATCAAGTTCTCCTTATTTGAAGTAACTACTAAGTGGTAGGCACAGGCTTGCAGATGATTTTTTAAAAAATTTTTTACTCCCACACTCCATCCTCAGTGACATTTTTCTGTACACATATCCTATCTTATTAAACTTTCTCCCAGTGGAAATGTAATTAATTTTATTTACCTCTCCAAAGACATAACAGAAGGCCTTTAATGTAACATATCTTTTCATCTATAAATATGGCATTTTTAATACTAATGTAATTAGAGTCTCCAAAACTGTCTTCAACTTTGAGGTTTAAGGTTTTATATCTTAGTAATTGACATAAATCAGCCATCTAGCCTAAGTGTAATCATGGCAAATAGTTGATCATATTTTGGAATCAACATAAGTCTTTTTGCCCTTAATTTTTACCTTCATTCTGGTTTTCTAAGAGGTAGAGCTTTTAGTGAATTTTCTCTTGTCAAATCAAATGCTTTCAGAAACTGTTTGGCAACAGCTCTGAATTTAAGTTCTAAAAAGTAAAGGAACAAATCACTTTCTTTTATATATAGCTCCTTATGAAGCAAAGAAAAATCTCTTGAACTAGGCCAGTGAGAATTTAATTTCAATTTCAGCAGAGAAAACATTCCTGAAATTCATCGGTGCAAACCACCATGCTGATCTTAACAGTGGGCTGTACAGAGGGACTCTTACCTCATGTGTGACCACCATGTGTAAAAGTCAAATACTATCAGTGTAGGAGAATTCATCCACCCACTTGAGCCAGAAATGTAAAGACTATGAATATTATCCACATCACCTCAAAGTGTAATTATTCTTACAAAAAAAAAAAAAAAAGGAGAAGAAGAAGCTTTGATTTTAAAATGTACAGGCTTTAGACAAATATTTTATTTACTGAAAATGGCTCCAGATTTATCTACTGCCCTTTCCAGCCATATGCTTTGAAGACATATTTTGGCAGAGTTAATGATAGGATGATAGTCAAGATCAACTAAATTACATTTAGTCTCAAATTATAGGGACCTGGGTCTGATAAAGTTAGAATACCTATAAAATGAATGCTTTGCTAAAACCAAATTAAGCTTGACTACTGCAGTCTACATATATGTATGTTCAGATATAGATGTGATTATATATTTAATATATATGTACATGCATGCACATATGTGAATATAAGATGAAATAAAGATTAAAATCTTAGTTCTGTGCACAAATACACACACATTTATTCATGCTCGGTAATGATTTCACGTCATTTTATAAGAGGTTGTAGATGCTAACTCTTTTATTACTGCCACATTTATTGAGTTATCATAATATCTTAGGAATGGTATGGAATGTTTAAATAATCATGGACCTGGATTATTAGACATCCAGTTTAAAAATGTGTTTGCTGTTCCAATTCTAATTTGAGTAATTACATTCTGCCTACCTCAATTTCCTCTGCAGTTGCAATTATATAAAATGGGGTTCTCTGCCACTGTCAAAAATAGTAAAATATTTTTGTGTAGAAAGTATAAAGCACCATACTTCCATTGAAGATATATTATGTTTTATTAAAATCAGGGACTAAAAAGCCTATTCAAAATAATGTGTTTAAAGTGTTATTGTCCTAATAAATCAATAATTTAATATCATGATACACTGTGATTTAACGAATCCAAATTTCTGAAATTGTAGTGATCACTGTGTATGTCCCCTCCATGACATCATCTAAATTAAATTTCATAAATAGTTATTTCTTTGGGCTTTAAAAGAAAACCTGCAGAAAAATACTATATTCACATATAAAAATTTATTTTTATATTTAAATATTTAAATTTATAAAATGTACATATATATTAAAAACTGGGCATCAGATTTTTGTTAACCACTTGAGCTATACTGCTTTCTTGAACTTTGAGTGTTTTTGAACTTAAAAGTGATAAATACATTTCTACAGTAAATGATAAACAAGTTACTTTAGTGAAGTATATGTAAAAACTTAAATTTTTCCTTTTGAGAACTGTTTTCATTTATTTTACACGGAATTTTATTTTATTTTATTTTTTTAAATGTGGCAGACATGTCCGTGGATAACTCTGTGAAGTTTTATGTGAGACTAGCATTTTAGCATCAATTGCTTAAATGTACCACCTTTGAACATTGGATACTACTTGAATAATATTTTTTATTTTTTTTGAGACAGAGTCTCAAACTGTTGGCCTTGGGTGGAGTGCCATAGCATCATAGCTCACAGCAACCTCCAACTGTGGGCTCAAGCTATCCTCCTGCCTCAATTTCCTAGTTTTAGTAGACACAGAGTCTCACTTTGGCATTCTTGGTAGAGTGCCGTGGTGTCACTCAGTTCATAGCAACCTCCACTTCCTGGGCTTAGGCAATTCTCTTGCCTCAGCCTCCGGAGTTAGGACTACAGCCACCCGCCACAATGCCCAGCTGTATTTTTGTTGCAGTTTGGGTAGGGCCAGGTTTGAACCTCCCACCCTCAGTATATGGGGCCAGCGCCCCACCCACTGAGCCACAGGCATCACCCAGGGGTCTCCCTTTTTTGATCAGGCTAGTCTGGAAGTCGTGAGCTCAAGCAATCCACCCCCCTCAGCCACTCAGTGATAGGATTACAAGCGTGAGCCACCTCCTCCCCACTTGAGCATCTTGAAGGAAAACTGTACCCACTATCCTCCATCTGGGTTTTTATGTTGTAAATTACAAGTAGACTGATTATAATGGTAAGTATTTGTGTATCTAAACCTGTGAAATCACAGAATGGGTACAGTAGAACATACTTTATAAGACCACCTTACATGCCGTTCGTTAAATACGGAAACATCATATGGAGCACAGGACGGCGCCAATCATCCCACTTCAACTCTTTACATTTCAGTCTCATGGCCAATAATTTTACTTTATTGTTTGTAAATTTTAAAGAAACTAATAGTTTTTTCACTCACATTATTAATACTTGATTTTAATTATTTTGGTATAGGACAAAAGTAATAGCAAAAAACTTTCCAAAAAACTCCAACCAATGAAGACATTGACTTCAAAATCTAAGAAGGCTATCACACGTATCTGTCTATATAGGTCTTACGTTATGTTTTCTTTTTAATCTGAATTATGTATCATGAGTGTTCTCTACTTTTTTCATTATCAATTTATGAAAGAAAATCCTAAAAATTATTAAAAAGCAATTATTGTAATGAAGAAGCTACCAATAATATCTTTAAAACCTCAACTCTATACTGTATTTATCTGTATCAGATGCAGTAACAGTAATAGTAAAACACTTAGTGAACAATCCTAATGTGTCTGTCTCTGTGCTAATTATATGCAATATATTACATTGATTCATATTTATGATGACATACAGTAGGCTTCATTGTTATTCTCATTTTACATAGGAGAATACAGAGGTAGATAGAATCACACAGTGGAGGAATCTGGAATTAAATTCACTGCTGATTCAGAGCCATGTCACTGTATTGCCACCCATGATCATTTGAATCACATGATGGCTTTATACCCAGTAGAACTCTGTCATAGGAAGTCTGTCATACATGCACATCAGAGAACAGTAGCCATAACATTAACCTGGGTATAGATGTCTTTTTCTGTTGCAAGAGCTTGTGTGAAAATATGTCAGTTTATGCTGTACTTTTTTTATTTTTTAATCTACAAAAGTTTCTTGTTCTAAGGAATGCTGTTCCTTTTCATCCTTAAATGAGACTAGGGGAAAATTAAAAGAATTTTTTAAAAATGATAGAATATCTGGGGTGTTCTGATCTAAGCTCAGTCAACACTCTACTTGGGATTTTTAATAAGTCACTGGATCCTTCTGGACATTGGTTTTATCCTTTGTGTGTGTGTGTGTGTGTGTGTGTGTGTGTGGTTTTTGGCCCTGGCTGGGTTTGAACCCACCACCTCCAGTAAATGGGGCCAGTGCCCTATTCCTTTAAGCCACAGGCAATGCCCCAGGAATAAATTGTTATAAAACTCATTCATGGGCCAAGTAAGCTTTTCCTCTCAGATACATCCCCTCATTAAGAAATGCTTCTTCTGGGTGGGCGTGGTGGGCTCACGCCCATAATCCTAATACTCTGGGAGGGCAAGGTGGGAAGATCACTCCATCTCTTGAGCTGAAGAGTTTGAGAGCAGCCTGAGCAAGACTGAGACTCAGTCTAAACTAAAAGTAGAAAAATTAGCCAAGGGTTATGGAGGGTGCCTGTAGTCCCAGCTACTTGTGAGGCTGAGCCAAAAGATCACTTGAACCAAGGAATATGAGGGAAGGTAATGCTGTGGCCCTCTAGCCTGGGCAACAGAGTGAGATCTGTGTAAAAAGGGAAGGATGGAAGGAAGGGAGGGAGGAGAAATATTTCTTTCTTACCAACATTTCTTGAAATTCTCTTATATAAGCAGATATTTGTACTTTCTAAGCTATATAAATAGTAGAAACATTGCTAGATCTATTGTAGTACCCTCTTTTCTCATTAAACAAACAAACATTTTTTTATTTGAAAAAAAATAATGATGAAAATGACCTAATTTACAAAGTAGATCTTTGCAGGAAATAAAAACATTTGTCTATTATATGACATCATGCTTTATTTACAGAAAAGAAACTTGAGGTCAATCAAGTCTTATCTCTTACCATTGCTCTGCCATAGATGAAGCTTAAAATGTCTTTCTTGAGAATTGTCATTATCCAACTTCACTATCCTGAAATTCGACCTTTCCTTGGAGAAAAATTCATATTCTGAACCCTCTGTTCCTTACTGTAATTCATATTGTTGCCAAGCATTTTGCTGGACACTGCATGTCCAAGTGGGAACCAGAATTTAGTGTGACCTTTCGCACATGATCTACCTGGAAAATGTACAGAAATAACACAAATCTGAAAGTACTATTATTGCTGATGGTAAAACTGATGTCCTAATGATTTGTAGATGTTGTGAACACGACTTCCTATTGCTTTCCCCAGCCCTCTGCTGCATAGAAATTTAATCGGTTTTCTGTATTTCGTGGAGCAGAGCTGTCACTGGCAGAAACGTACTTTTGCATATGGATCAGTTTGGCTGTGGTACAGATTCTTGTTCACGCTGGACTCCTACTGATGTGCGCTGATTTAAAGTCTAAAAATTAAATTTAATTTTATATAGCTTATAAGTAGTCCCTAGAGAGTATTGGATCCTAAAAGCTAATATTTTTCAGACATAATCAGCAGGAAAAGGTAATGGATTACCATTCTCCACATTAGCAGCCGCGGTAACAAAAGGAAACAGTAAACATAAATGCTCTCAGCAACTTCATTCTTTACAGCGAATATTAATATGAAATTACACAAATTAGAGTTGCCGTTTAACATTATTCAACATGTTTATTCAGAATGATTGTTTCAGATTTAAAGAACACCAAAATATTGTGTTTTGTCAGCCAAGGACAATAATAGTTTAATAGTAATTTATTTTAAACAGCTACTGATAATACAGCCAATCAACACATTAAGTGATGCCAACATTGGCATCTTGCTAAATAATCTCTAGACATTGCACAGAGAGTACATCTTTCAAAGATAAGTCAACAAGAGCAATCAGAGCAGAAAATTAGAATTTGGTATCTTAGAATTAAAATACAGCTAAACTAAAGTTTTAATTGGGGTGATCTAAAAGGGCACTTGATGTAATGATCTCTTTCATTTGTTACTAATTGTTTGTTCCTGATGAAGAAGAAGCTTATGCAGGAGTGTTACTGAATTGAGTTAAGATGGCAGTTTCCTTAGCAGCTATGTTTTATTGTTAAACAACAAAAGAATAGGGAGGAGTAAACTGCCATGTACAAATTCTAAAAGCTTGCTTCATATCGCAAGAATTATACCAGGAAATTCAGGGTCAGGTACACGTATAACAAATAGGAAATAATTTATATGTGCTTGATAGAACATAAAAATAGCTTATGACAGTGTGGCCTTATGCTGTAGGCCACCCTGGTAGGCTAAAGGGTAAGACTACATCTTTATTGCACTCACAAGTGGAGCTGGAGTTGAAATTCCCAGTTCAACATGCACCATGTTTCTTGCACGGAGGCCGCGTCCTCCAGTAGATCTACAAATGACATCAACTTCCATCTCATCTATAATTTCAATGGAAAATTTCAATCTCTGATAATCACAGACCATAGCAAAAGATCTTCTACTTCAAAATAGCATTTCGTATTGCTGAACTGAAGAGAATAGAAGTTCTGTCTCCAATTTTTACTAGTAACTTTGGTCTACAGTATCTTACGAGAAAAAAATATACAGAATGCTTTTTCTATGTTTAGCTTATTTTCATAATCTCATTTTCGAAAATCTCTACTGTTGAATTTTTTAAAAGCACGCAGTCAGCTCTTCTGTGTATGTGTATAGGTGTACACCTTCTTCATCAGCTGTGTGAACAAGCACATGTCATTTTCACCGTATGCTCTTTCAAATTATTACGGTGTCAAATAGTTTCCTAAAAGTTATTCTCCATTTATTGCAACTATCTGGAATGACTTTTTAAAAAAAATAATGCACTCCTAAGCCACCAAGTTTTCTTTCCTTTACATATATATCTCAAGAGCAGTATTATAATTTCTGTTCATAAAATTTTAAAATCTAGTATACGCTGGGTCCTCTGTAATCTCACTGTTCTGGGAACATAGTGCTGAAGAGAAAATATCCTGCCTCAGAGAGCTTATGTTTCAGTGGCAGCAATGCAACATAAATCAGTTAACCAATAAACATACAGCAATAGTCCATCATGGTAAATGCTGTGAAGAATTTGAAGAGAAGAGTAACACGGTACATCTACAAAGCTATTCCAGATAGGATGGTAAGAGAAAGCCTGTCTGGAATGGTGACTTTGAGCAAAAGTGGAATGAAATGAGGATGTGAGTCATGTAAAGATCTAGAGGAAAAGCACTCAGGAGGGAACAGGAGAGACAAGACCTTGAGCAAAAAACAAACCGCTTCGTTGAGTAAGCAAAAGAAGCCCACTGTGGCTAGTGTAATCTTGGTAAGGGGTGGGAGAATGAATTCCAGAGAGAAAGGTGAGTACTGCCAAGTTGATGGGAGGTTGCATAATCCACGTCAGATATACTGACAGGAGAAGGTCAACCTAATTTTCTTTTCAGTTATTTTTTAATTATTTTATTTTATTTATTAAATCATATCTGTGTACATTAATGCTATCATGGGGTACAGAGTGCTGTTGCTATATACAATTTGAAATACTTTCATCCAACTGGTTAACATAGCCTTTATGTCATTTTCTTAGTTGTTGTGTTAAGACATCTATATTCTACATTTAGAGAGATTCACATGTACCCTTGTATCATAAACCATAGGTGTAATTTGTCGCCCACAGTAGAGTGCTGTGGCATAACAATTCACAGCAACCTCCAGCTCTTAGGCTTAAGTGATTCTCTTGCCTCAGCCTCCCAGGTGGCTGTCACAACACCTGGCTATTTTTTTTTTGTTGCAGTTTGTCTGGGGCTGGTTTCGAACCTGCCACCATTGGCATATGGGGCCGGCTCCCTACTCACTGAGCCACAGGCACTGCCCTGTTTTTTAGTTATTTTTTAGGCACACTTATGTGCTACCCTTTGAACTAGATATTCCAATTAGAAGCTGTTGGACCTGCATGCCATAAATATTTGTCTTCCTAAAATAGTTTGATTAGAAGTTTTGTGCTTTCGTGTGGTATTTGGCCTACTGTGTGCAGAGGGAACATGTAAGAATTAAGTAATTTGACAAGTGGGTTATTCTCTTTTAAAATGTTTTTAAGGAGTGAATGGAGTATGCTTTGTACCAAAATATTATCATTCTGAATAACTTCTTTGTACAGGGACTCTTGAAAGTTGCCATAGATAATGCCAGAGCTCAAGAAAAACAGGTCCAACTGGAAAAAACAGAGCTGAAGATGGATTTTTTAAGGGAAAGAGAACTAAGGGAAACACTTGAGAAGCAGTTGGCTATGGAGCAAAAGAATAGAGGTATTTCCAAACAAGCTTAACACTTTAAAATATTGAACATCATAATATTTTGTTTGGTGATTTACTTTGCAACTATGAGTTTTGGTTTTGTTTTGTTCCATTTTTTGTTTTTGTTAATGTACCTGTAACAGAACTTCAGAGTAGAATTTGAAACCTGGGCTGATTATATTTCTTAATCTTCAAAGTACAAGTTTTCTGTTTCTATCTGACAGAATTTTAAATATATCCATTATATTATTACTTATGTAATTTTTATTCCTCCTAGAGTTTAACAAAATTATCTCCTTTAAGATAAGAATGAGTTCTGATGACAACCCTGAGAAGTTTTATGTTCATTCACAATTGCCCTCTGAAAAACTTAAGATAATAAAGTTAAAAAGCTAAAACAGAAAATACTTATATTCAAGCCAAACAGGTTTATAAGATATTTGACAACCGAAATCTAAGACTGATGAATATCTTAAAAAATGACCAAAGTTAAGTGTTTGTGTAATTTTCTTTCCAAATGTCTCATTTTTATCCAACAAGGTCAAGTGCACAGAGTAGAAACAGACAATGAATTATTACTGGGTAAAAATGATGATATTATTGATCTGGGAACTGCTTCTTTTAACAGACTGTACAGAAGAACATGTATAGATAATTTTGAAGGTCATTCACATTTGTACATTCATTTTCTGTATGATTTTGAATAACTTCTTTAGAACCAACTTCCCCTTTGACTCAACTACAAGATTTTTCTAAATATTCTAGAAAGTGGATGGGACTTCCATTATCAAATTTAATAAGTGTCTGATATAAATATTCTCCTTTCATATATTTGATATGGTCATTTAAAAAAAACATTGTTTCTTTTTTACTTTTAAAACTAGCAGCATTTACCAGGTTGTTTTGTTATTTATAATGCAGCAACAGCTAGTGAGTTCACTGGATGAGGTCAGTTTTGGGACCTGTCATCCCAGATGGATATCACATTTCTAAATTATGTGACTTTACATAGAGTTAGGTATTAAAATACTCAAAACAAGATAAACACTGATGATGAACGTGTTCCAAATGAAAAGGAGTTTGATTAAAAAGTTCAATCCATGAAACCGTCTTCCATGAGATAGCCATGTTTTGATTTTGTTCCTACTTGGTTTTGTTGAGCCTTTTTAAAAAGACTTAAAGGCAAGGTCTTGATAAAGTAAGAGCTCTTGATCAATCTCTCTGATTAATTGACAGACCTTCAGAATTCTGTTGGTTAAAATCTGTTGGGAGGATTTACATTTTTGTTTTATTCCTTTAACCACTAGAGGGCAAAACATTCACAGATCACACCATGAACTTCTCATCTAATTAATTATGACCAGTAAATTAAAGGTAATAACTATCAATACTTACCTATTATGAACATGTCTATTGAAGCAGTGGATTGCCCTGAAAAGAGAACAAGGCAGTCCCATTTGGTTCAATCACATATGAAGAAACAGAGAGACGTCAATGGCAATCCACTGGGTATTGAGCCGTTAGAGCTACAGGATGCAAAATCCAAATAAATATTGTGGAAGTTACCGTTTCTTTTCAAAGAGGCTTATAAATAATAATCTTTGGAAGGGGAAATAGTAATAAAGTAAATATATTAAGGTAAGCATATGATTTTCACACTCTTAAAGAAAATTGGCATTTGTTTGAAATTAGTTTTAATTATTTTCTTTTAAGAATTTAAAAAATGTATGATACAGCACCCATAAACATGCTAATTGGCTGCCAAATTAAAATATTAATGATAATGAAAAACATGATATGTAAAAATTGTAAATTAAAACCAAAATACTCATTTGAATCATTACTATGTATTACTTTACACTTGAACTAAATATTGCATTAAATAAATGTATTATCATTCTTAATTTGTGGTAAGAAATTAGATAGTAAACATAGAATGATTACTTTTTATGACAAACTGAAGAATTTTCTTGTACTGATTCTGTGACACTGACATCCACAATATTTGTCAAGCATTAAAAATGGTGGATAATGATTGATACTTATCAATCATTAAAAAATAATTTTGGTCAACATCTCTAATCATCAGAGAAAGGCAAATCAAAACCACAGTAGATATCAATTAACTAAAGTAAGAGTGGCTTTTATCAAAATGGCCCAAAACAACAGACGCTGGCCTGGATGTGGAGAGAGAGGAACACTTATACAGTGTTGGTGGGACTGCAAAATAACACAACCTCTACAGAAAGTAGTCAGAAGATTCTTCAAAAAACTAATGGTAGACTTACCATTCAATACAGCAATACAACTCCTGGATATTTACCCTAAGAGAAAAAAGACACTTTATAAAAAAGATACATGCACTTGAATGTTCATAGCAACACAGTTCATGATCACAAAGATGTCAAAACAACCCAACTGCCAAAAATGGAGTGTTGCCCAGCCATAGGTAAATTAATACCTTTATAACAACTTGGATGGAAATAGATACCGTTCTTTTAAGTGAAATATCACAAGAAAGGATAAACAAACACCACATAGTTTCAACTATTATATCAGAATTAATCAATTAACACTTAAGTGCACATATAGAAATAAAACTCATCAAATCTAAACAGGTGGGGGGGAGGAGGTAGGGATGGATAAATTCACACCTAACGGGTACAATACACACTGTCTAGGTGATGGGCACATTTAACTTTGACGCAAATGGTACCCAAACAACTATGTAACCAAAATGTTTGTCCCCCTGTAACATTCTGAAATAAAGTGATTTTGAAGAAAAACACATAGATGCTTCCCTTATCTTGATTAGTTGCCAGATATATGGGGTAAAAATTAAAGCAATTATCATACTGAAAATATAGTTAAGATACATTTTGGAAAAAAAACATTAATTTGCTATTGTTTACTGATTATATGTAAACATTTAAATTGTCAAGTAGGTAGGAGAAAAATATTTCAATAATTGATTTTCTGTATTGTAATCTACATTTTTACGTGAAGAGCACATTATTATCAGTAGCACATTATCATTAGCAGTGAGATTTTATACTCCACCAGATTTCTGCAGAGTGCAAGCATAGTAATTTTCTTGAAGTATTTTATAGTGCACTATGTATTTACAATGATGAAATTATCCTAGGAAATTATACCTTTATCCTAATAAAATCATTTCTATGTATGTATGTTAACAGTAACTAAGTATTATAGTTCGCTTCTAATACATAAAAAAGTTAATGCATCTTCTAAAATTTTAAGAAAGAATTACTAAAAACAGATCTAGTTTAGCCTTCTTTTCCAAAATGTTTGTAAGAGAAATGCGTGTTGGTATTTAAAATTGGCATCTCCTAAGAAGATGGGCATGTTCATAAAAGATTTGCATGTTTAAATGACTCTGCGCTATTTTGATTCAAGGACAGAAAACTAAGCCACAAAATTCATTTAATCAAGCTTCCTTTAGCAGTGAATACAAATATTTACTAAAATTAGTTTCCTATTAAATTTATCTTTACATATGACAATTAAACTGATTCTTGTAATATAATAGTTCAAGGCTAAAATTTAAAAAAAAAAAGGCTCCTTGGACGTTTTACTGAAAATTATTTTAGGCAAAAGTGGTTTTTTTCAAAGTTCCTCTTTGTAGGTTGACTCAGTCCAACAGGAAAACCAAATAAATAATATGAAGAACATAGACCAATTGTAAATGAGCAGCATTGTAAAGATTAAAAAGGCAGTCATGTACATACACTCTTTTCTAGCCATAGTTCAAAAGAGGCTAAAGAAGGAGAAGAAGGCAAAGAGAAAATTGCAGGAAGCTCTTGAATTTGAGACAAAACGGCGTGAGCAAGCAGAACAGACACTAAAACAGGCAGCTTCAACAGATAGTCTCAGGGTCTTGAATGGTAAGTTATGCACGGTTAACTTTCACTCTTGATATTCAAAGGACCATTCAGACGTGTGGTTTTGTATATTTCTATGTCTACTGATTCATTCAACTCTGTCTGTAACCCAAAGCATGATGCAAAGAATTCGCTGGAAGAAATGCCGTGCTTCTCCTGTTCTGTTTCTTAACTCAGCTATCTGGGAACTAGCCCTGCGTCTCTGTTTAACAAATTGTACCTGTGCTGAGACATGATAAAATATTAATCTGAAAGCCTCCCACGCCCTGTCCTATTTGATGAGCAGTGTTGCATTACTTATTTATCTGTTCCATCTTCCAAAAATTCTTATGGTTATAGTTTTGCTTCAACCTTTAAAAGATGACAAAAGATTTTTGTAATTTTAATTCAGCACCGGGGTAACAGGTTGCTTGCTCATTTTTTAAAGGACAATAAGGAATCAAATGAAATATGTGTCACTCTTACCTTTCTGTGCTTTTAGACTCTCTGACCCCAGAGATAGAAGCTGACCGCAGTGGCGGCAGAACAGATGCTGAAAGGACAATACAAGGTAGGAATTTGCAGAAGGCTATAAATCTAGATCTTGCTATATGAGTTTTTCCTTAGCTTTAGCCTGCTATTCAAGCATGTAGCCTACCATCTGGGCCACATCAAAACAAGTTCAAACAAGGTCAAGTTCATCTTGCTTGTTTATATGAGTGAATTCATTTTGTGCTGATAGATTTTCTTTAAATTAACAGGTCATTTCTGTTTATACAATGCAATTAAAAAGGAATAATTAATTTTAAACAATGTATGATTTAATCTGGGACACAGTGAATGTGTTTTATGGAATGTTTGAAGCCCAATCTAATGCAGGAAGGGTTTATAAGTTCTATGCTACATAAATAAAATCATGTGGTAATCAAATAGGTAGTCCTTACAATTTAAAAACGTCTAACTCCTTATTTTTATGACAGCAAGGCACATGCAAAATGGACTAGTTAAATGTTAATAATAAATAAGATTGTTTAGTTCCTATGCTAATAATCCAAATGCTCCGTATGCCATTATATACATTTTAATAATACAAATCTGCTGAGCAAAGTCACGTGTAGAATACCAAAGGGAGTTGTTTTAAATGCACAGGAGAGCTCAGTGTGTATGTTGCCGAGACCACACTATTAGTAAAGACTAAAATCAGAAGGTAGCATTTATAGCCAAACATCTATTCTAGACAACAGACTCAACCCAACCACATGAATACTAAACAGTAAAAAGACCATTTGTTCTCTATTTTAAATGAAGATGATTCTTCAAAGGGATGCCTAAAATGATTAACTGCCATAATCCTCCCAATTGCTTTTATTTTGCATTTTAAGCTCAATCATTTTTAGGATATTGTATGACATTAATTGTGTTACTTAATCAGCTTCCAAAGTGTCACTCTTGGCGTAGGATAGAGGAAATTTACTTTTGTAAAGTATCTTAATGTACATTGAGTAGCAATCAAAGACTTGAAGTAACATTCCTGGGGAAAGAATATCATTTTTGTGTGTGTATGTGTGTGTCTATTTATTTTACCGGAGGCCATTATAATTAGTTTGTAAATCCCAAGGCTTGAACCGTATGTTAATATGAGACATCTCCTTGGGTATACAATGTGAATGCGATTGTAGATGTAGAAAAGGTCTTAATTTTTAGAACATTATGAATTCCAGCACAATTATGTACGTGTGTGTTTGCATATACAATACCACCAAAATAATAAGAATTCTGCTGCATCTTATAATAATTTTATACAAATGTTAACAAATTACTGTTAACAAAACCCAGTCCACTTTATCAGGAACGGTAGGCTCGATAAGGCAAATATAAATACCAGTGCTTGTTTATAGATGCAGGAACAACTCGCGCACTAACTCAGATAAAGTTGAAGTGTTCCAAGAAAGCACGTGAGCCCCAAAATAAATGTGATATATAAATTATCTGGTGGACACAGAATCGTCAAGGTGGTCCAAACTCGATCTAGAAAATATTATAGACAATAGAGTCCTATATATAAATGAGAAATGTATTATGAATATCAAGAAGTGAGTGGGCTGTGCCTGTGGCTCAAAGGAGTAGGGCACCGGCCAAAAACTGCAAAAATAAATAAATAAATAAATAAATAAATAAATAAAATTAAAAAGTGAGTAACCAGTGATTAAACTTTTTTTATAGTTAACATAATGTGTGTGCTATGAGTTTGCTGTCAGCACTATTTTGGTTGCTAATAAAGTTATGCTTATTTTTATTTAAATCTATAAAATTCACTTTAATATGGACACATTACATATAAGTGTATATTTTTTAAGGGCTCGTTCCTCGATAATATACATTTTCATACTGATAAAGCCTTGCCATATGAAGTTGATACATGGCTAACTCTCAATGTCCGTTGTTGTGGTTTGCTTATTCTGAAGAAAAGTTTTAAGCACAAATTACCTTCCTTTTAGCATCCAGAAAGCTACCCGTTGAGGAACGCAGTAAACCCATCCAAATAACATCATGATTAGGGAAACAAAACATGAGTACAACAATTATAGATCGGCATTTAAAGCAAAATCTTAACTATTATGGGGTTACCTTTGCTTTAATTATAATATAAAACCTATATTCATGTCATACATTCAGCCTGTCAATTTAATTGTCGAAATGCACTGCTTTCAATAAAGCAAACTTACTCACATTCATGATCTATATTGAACAATGTGGGTTTTCCCCAAATATAATTGTTAAAAAACACTGCTTATGAATCTGCTTCTAACTGTTAGCTGCTAAAAACGTATTTCACCAGCAGTTGGACTCTTTCAAGACTTAAAAGACAAAAACCAGAGCAAAGAGGTCCTCTTTTGCTACTTTAACCCCACTAAATTAACTCATTTAGCCCTTTGAAATCTTTTTTACAAACTTAGACTAAATTAAGACATTCGGAAGTGAACAGAATACAATTAACTGGGAAGAGAAGAAATCAGAGGAAGACTGTATTTAATTAAATGTTGTCTAAGCACAAGAATGGGAAAAGCTGAACAGAGAAAACACAAGTCCATACTCATTTGTGAAATGGTCTATGTCGTGCATTCGGGGAGCTGTGATCACCTGCTGCTTCACAAGGCAGGACTGACAAGCACACAGAGCCTCTTGCTCCCCTGGCCGTCTCTGTTCCAGTGTCCCCAAGCACAGGTGTGGGGATACTCTTGTTCCCCAGCCAACCATACCTGAAAGTATTGTCTGTTCCACCCTAAACCTCATTGAGTGGAAAAGATAAAATAAGCCCACAATTTTTATGCATGTCATGGATCCACTTTTTTAACATCATAGCCATAAATAAATGCCACCCATGGCCCAAGAGTTAGTCACCTAGAAGTTGGGCGCTTATGTATGGCTGAAGCCCCTTAGGTTGAACTAGGTAAGGCCTTCTTGGCATTTTGTGTCACCATTTCTATAAAACTACACAGGTAAAGGGAAAGCAGAAAGCAATTTAGAAAATATCTTGAGCAAAGAGCCCTCAAAAAGTGTACGTTTCTTGATAAGATGAATGAGCCTAGGGTACA